AGAAAGGTCTCTGTGCAAGTCTCAGTTGCTCTTTCAACCGTGCAACCTCATTCTTCAGACCTGTTATTTCGCTTTTCCATTTGCGCGTTTCGTTCCTCGCTTCACCAAGTTGATACTTCAAGTTATCGATCTGCTTTTCCATTCCAGCCTTGTTCAGGTCCTGGATTTTCTTCTTAAGAATATCCTCAGTCTCTTTTGATTGTTGAAGTTTTTCATGCAGCTCTTTTCTCTTCTTTGCCTCAAAAGCTTTCAACTGGGGACAGAATGAATTGGCAAAAAGCAATGACAAAACTTCTGTGTTCTTATACTTATCAGAGGGAATCTGTAATAACCGATAATTTTTGCGTGCGTTGGAAAACGTTTTCGAAAGGTTTTGTCCAGCCGGTTGTCAATTTCGATACAAGTCAGCAAAGATGACAATTTTGAATTTTTATGTATTTCCACGTGTTTTACAGCAGCTACTCGAAAGAAGTAGAGACTCGCCGAAATCATCAATTCCTGCTGTGGTTTTAAAATTTCGTGCTATTAAAAAAAATAAAAAATCAAAACCAATCAATAAATAAAGTCAGGAATCTGGGATATGATAGATGACTATGATTTAAAAAAAAAACAAAAAAAGAAACGAGGCGCCATTTTGGTGTCCTTCGGAGGAGCAAACGAAAATCACACTCCAGCTACAACCTTGTAAAACGCCAAGTTCTAAGAGGGTACTTACGTCTGATGAAATTACAACCTTAGAAGGATGGGTAATTTTTTTGATTTGAGATATGACAACATCACATGAAAACCGCCGATAGTAAAAGGTTGGTAATTTTCGAAAATAAAGAGGGTCGTTACTTCAGCTGAATCAGTTTCTATGGTAGAACTTTATTTCATGACAAGGTTTGGAATCTGGATTTTCGTAATTTTGGCCACCTCGTTATTATGATAACTTTTTCCATCCGGGTTTCCAGTGTGAATGCATAATTTTCTGAGGTAAAAATTCGCTTAAGCGAAACTTCCTCAAGTATAACAGAGAAACAATTTGAATTAAGCGGCTAATTAAATATTGTTAAAATTGCTATTGGTAAAAAACTGTTTATTTATTTATTTATTTATTTATTCATTCATTTATTTATGTTTTTGCTTCCTGTCGATCGAATAAAGTTGAGGTAAGAATCAAATCAATAAAATAGTGGATTTCACTTTGTGGCCAAATTTCGCGAAAGAGTATTTTGCCACTGTTATTTACATTGAAATAATGTATTTACCTTTTGGTCTTGAATTTGCAGCTGTTTCTCCATGTATCGGTTGTTTTCCTACGAATAAAAAAAGGAGAAAGGTTTTTTTCTTTCTTTTTTTTTTTAAAGATTAAATACAGGAAGTCAAAATTTGCGGTTGAATAATGAATAATAATAATAATAATAATAATAAAAATAATAATAATAATAATAATAATAATAATTGCGGTTCAATGATTAATACTGCCCAGTAAAGGTCACTTCGACGGTTTTAACGTTAACAACGTTTAAAGTGGGTAGGGGCCTAATAGGCACCTTTTTCAACCCCCCCTCCCCAACCTCCCCTCGCTCTCAATGGGTTAAGTCTGCATACGAGCCAAGTGGCTCATCAGACCTGAGCTTATCCCGGTTTCAGTAGCATGAAACGACCAGGAGTATTTCTACTCCCCCCGGGATAGGATGCTAGTCCATCGCGGGGTTATCCCGCAGCATTAAATTCGCCGGCACCCATTTGTACACCTGGGTGAAGAGGGCACTATGAAAGTAAAGTGTCTTGCCCAAGAACACAAGACAATGTCCCAGGCCAGGATCACTTGCTCCGGAGTCGCGCGCACTAACGCTTAACCATGAGGCCACCACGCTCTCAATAGGCATAGTTCCTAAATGTGTAAAACTACTAAGCATCAAACCATATTCGGGAGAATCTCGGAAGTGAAATTAACACCCAGGCACTTACCCTTAGTTTCTCGGCTTCTCTATCTTTCTCAGCGTATCTCATACGTTGTTTTAAAATATCTTCATCGTAATCTTTAAATTTCTTGAGGATATCCTTGTACTGGTCCACCTCAGCACACAAGCGCTACAGAAAATGAATATTCCATAAAAATCGATTGAAATTGCTTGATCAACTCTGAAGGCGTATATTTTTAATCTATTTTTATTTCAATAGCCAGGAAACTTTTTTCGATTAAAAGCTATTTTGAAACTGATTTTGAACAATGAAACTGACCTTATAAAAACTTTGTGAGCTTCGAAAAGTTCAAAAAGGCTCCGACCAGGTTAAATGTCATAATTTTTCTGTCTCACTATTGGCCAAACCTGTTCACGTGGTACAATCTCGCGCAGGCACTTTCACGCGATAGTATGCCCACGGGTAACCATCAGTCAATAGCGCTTGCTCAGTGAAGTGGCTCATTTATGTAAATGGCATAAAAAGAATTCAACCCCCATATGGATTTCAGTGAGATGATAAGACGGGCAAGTCGTTTCTCTTAGAAGCATGTCAGACGAGGTTCATACGAGAAAGAGGAGTCGACTTGTACATGTAGAAGTGGACAAAGCCACTTTTAAAGCGCGTGAAAATTCTTGGAATATAATATTCTTCGGTGTGCGTATTACCGGCAAAGCCTTCCGCCAAAATTAGACTCTGAGAACACATAATAAAGAAATACTGGAAAAATCAGTAATGCACGTTTATGCAGATAGTCAAGCAGTTTTCGCCTGGCAAACAACAAGCACAAGTTAAGGCACGGAAGAGTCTATCTGAATCTTTTGTTTCTTCAGTAAGTTGTCCTTTAAATAGTTACCTTGTGAAATTCATGAAACACCTCAGCACGGACTTTACTGGCTCCTACAGCTCGATTTCTGTACTCCTTTTCAATTCGGGAAATACCGTTGTCAATTCCCTTAAAAGACCAACTTGTTCTGTCTGTTCCTCGCAGCTTTCTCAGAACTGGATCTACGTGCTTTTGCTTTAGTTCTTCCAGAAGTTTTTCACAGGCTAATTTGGTCAATCGATCATTGTTGGCCTTCCACTCACTCAGTTTTTTAAGTTCGTCATTCTGTTAAAAGAAACCCCGCGTATAAAGGAAATATGTCACTCTTGAACTTCCGGTACTCAGTAGAATTACTTAGTTTAGGATTAACATATAAACTGTGCAGAGAGTCTGAAGTATATCCTTAAAAGGTCAAAACATACTTTTTAACTTGTAAAATAGCACTATTTTTTTAAGATGTAGGTGTAGGGGCAAATTTCACTTCTTTGCTCCTACCTGTTAGACTTTGTGAATCCACTGACCTATGCGCAACGTTTCCGTTGTCGATTGCACACTGAAGTCGTACACCGAAGTCAAGTTATTCCTGATGATGATTTAGGTAAAACGATTCCCTCACCGTCCTCACCGAGTGATGCGTTTTTTTTAGTTGGCGATGTTAGTTACCTGCGTTATGACGGAAAGTTCGCTGAAAAAGCTATACTTCTTAATACAGTCATTATTCGCTCTTCGACTTCCGCTCCGCCCCGCCTCCCCTCAGACATACACACTAACCATTATAGGATTTTGTTTGGGATTGATGTCAGTTCATTTTCGACGGAGAACAATGTAAAACATTTAACACACGAGGAGCAACTATTCAGGCATTTTCAAAATAGGCCTGTTAGTATAGATAATAAACTGGTAACAAGTGAACGGACTATGGAGGAATTCGCCATTCACAGTACCTAAAATTTGTTAGCATGGAATCTTAAGCGAGACAATTGTAACATTGGGCTATTCTTCTCACTATCAATTCCTCGAGATCCATCCTGGTATGTTCAGTGGTAATTCCAAACGTTCCTTCTCGAAATATGGTCATGCTCTCATCAGTGGCAGACTGATGACTCGCCAGGATCTTATCTCCATCACAGGGTAGGTTGGAGAGTTTTGCTTTCATTATCTTGTCGTATGCTAACAACGCTGTTTTCTTCGCCTCGTCACATTTTTCCCGCACAAACGTTTCCCAAGCTGTTTGCACATTAGGAATGCAGCTGGGATCGTTTATAGCCTTAACATAAAGCTTCGTCAAAGTTGCCAGTCCTAGGGAGATGAACTAGTATTAGTAATCTTCTATTTACTTAGCTCAGCTGCTACATTTTATGAGAGCGAATTGCAAATTGGAATTAAATAAGAGAATGAGAGAATGAGAGAATGGGTGTATGACTTCCATATTTCTTAATGTGATGGAAACGACCAACCTGTCAAAGTTTTGTTGCATAAAAGACTGGAACTCAAGTGCAGTGCTTCTCCGAGGAATAACCACTGCTAATTTTTGAAATAACAGTAACAAAAAACTCACTAAAGAAAACACCCAAAACAAAAGAACATCATTTTACTCCAACAACTAGGCAACATTTTAGAACACCTGTGATGTTGACACACGCTTCGTCCATTAATTATATCAAACCGCGGCTTATATAATTATAAGCAACGATGGGCTACAAAAGCAGTTGAGATAATTTTTCAGAAAATGACACACGTCGTATTTACCTCTTATTCTATTGCAAAACATTTCATTCTCTGGTATTCCCGGGTCCTCCCCTATCAAACAACGTTGTTGGGGGGAGGGGGAAGGTCGCTCGAAAGTAGAATTTGACAGGAAAGTGGCTCAACACCTGTGTTGTCTGTAAGCATTTGGAATAAGACTGGAATACAACTGCCCAGTTGTCAAAATTTTGTTTGTTCGTTTGTAGAAGGGGAAAAATGTTTCAACCTCCATATTCCCAGACAAAATCCCCCAGCCAGCATACATATAAAGGCATGCAAAACCCATTTACTGAAGATAGGGTTAGACACGTCGCGTATGTTCAACTAGTTTTCCCAGCCAGCAAAATTAAACTTGCCCTGGAGAACAAATTTTTTATCTGTTCTATGTTCCTGTACCTTCTCCAGTTACAAACTCTCCTTCGTAACAGCTTCTTTTGGGAGCCATTTTAGACTTCAGTAATTCTACAAAGTACTCTACTCTAGCGAGGAATTCTTGGTTGATACGATCCTTGTTCCGTTCGATATCTTTCATTACCTCTTTGTCGAATGCAGGTGGCGGAAGCCGAAAACCATCAAATCCAGAAAAGAACTGCAGAATGCTTTCAGCAATTTTATCTTCAGGCTGACCCTTTTGCGATGTATCTTGTTTGAAAATCTAAAAACAAAATCAATGGCTGATCAAAAGCATGGCGATAAATTATGCTACAAAGAAGGCGTGGAAAGGGCAATTATCACATAAAAACGTTTTTCACTAACTAAATACATTACGCGTTTAAAAGCCTCCCCTCTATACCATAATATCTAACAATTGTCTCACTAAGGTTCAGTAAATATTTGTTAATATTTACCGATACGAAGTCGAGGTATATGTAACATTTAAATCTGCTGCCATGCATGTTCACCATAGCATCCGCGCTAAAGTTGTATACAGAATAAAGTTCCGAAGGTACGTTCATCCGAATGAGTAAAACCCTTAAGAGTGATTTTCTGAGAGTGTCGAGAATCGGAAGACAGTTTCATATAATTTGCATATATTGGCGGTTTTCGCGGCTTAAAATGTTCAGAATTTCACGCTTCTTTACGAAAACAGCGGGGGCGTAAAAACAATCCTGTGAAAACAAAACTTGGCACAAATATTATCTCATTCTTATACTTTCAAATCGTGTAATAAGTTTCTTGAAGTTTTGTTTGTAGCTCT